GTGATATTGACATCCTTGCAAAACTTTCGTCGTGCTGATTGTACTAAATCAAAAACCCTTTGACATGGTGAAAATACGTGCAAAAATAAAGCGGAGCATTTATTGCACGATATGAGAGGAAAACGATAAGAAAATGCTATCATAACAAAATTACCGAATTTTTCTGCAAACTTCTTTCAGCTTCTTCTTTCAGTAACTTCTTCTTTTATTTTTGCACGTATTTTCACCATGTCAAAGGGTTTTTGATTTAGTACAATCAGCACGACGAAAGTTTTGCAAGGATGTCGATATCACAAGATTTTCCTACAAATATTACTTTGTATTTACTTGACCGAATTAAAATGCTTTTGTATGGTGAAAATACATGCAAAAATGAAGTAGATTATTTCTCACTCAGAAATGAAAACGATGTGGAACTTTTGCCGTTTGCATTATTTTTTGCATTACTTCTTTCTATATGCGCTGAGTTAAAAATCCTTTTACATGATGAAAGTATGTGCGTAAATGAAGCGTTCCTCAATATGAGAGGAAAACGATAAGGAATGATTACTATCATGACACCGAATCTTTCTGTAAAGATTAGTCTTTTCTACATGCGCCGAGTTAAAAACCTTTTTGCATGGTGAAAGTACGTGCGAAAATAAAGCGGGGCATTCCTCAATATAAGAGAAAAACGATAAGAGACAGTTACTATCATGACATTGAATCTTTCTGCAAAGATTAGTTCTCTCTACATGCGTATTGACTTGATCGAATTAAAAATACTTTTGTATAGTGAAGGTACATGCAAAAATCAAATACAGCATTCCTTACTCAGGGATGAAAACGATGTAGAACTATTGCTATCGTGACACTGATTTTCTTTTGCAAAAATTACAGCGCAATTACTGCTCCAATTTATATGATAAAATTGAGTGCGAATATATAGTGAAATATTGAATTTTAATTTCCATTGAAAATTATATAGAAAGCTCACATATTAGATAACATGTATTTTTCAAAACAATATTCGTAAATTACTCTAATGCGTATAATATATTTTTCGAAAAAACTTTCTTTGATGCACCCACACTGAGAGAAAAATGTATGATATTTGGAACTATAATGGCATAGTAAAAAGATTATAGTTAGGAATATAATTTTTATAGTAAATGTTACCATAATATTTGTAATATTTACAATATAAGCATAGTATAACTGACCCGTGTAAAATTTTTACCAAGAATTAAAATTATTTGAAATAAAAAATATAGTAATAAAGTGGCAAATATTGAATGGTAAGAGAAATTAACTATTTTATATAGTCAATGCAATTGGAATATTTGGCATATAGGTACATATAACTATATTTCCAAAAGGTGCTCTTTCATATATATAGAATAATAAGATGGTGACTATAAATCTGTGTTCATTCTACTATATCTTCATGTTTAGATGAACTATAAATATATGTTTGAGGCCAAAACGAACTATAAAATATAGTGCGATTATAGTTATTCCAATTATTTTTTCTCTCAGTGCAGTATATAAGCGGTTTGAAGAATTCATCAGAAAAGCAGCGAAAGGCTCTCTTGGAGAGAATATGAATATCGGCAACGTGATATTCACATTTACGTACCGTCTATATGTAAGAAAATTGAAATGACAACGTAGCACACATATTTGCATAACATCTGTGAAGGAACGATATATGAAAAAATACTGCGGTGCAACAGTAGCGCGAACATGTTCACGCTTATCAAATGTGACATTTTGACGATCGTCTTCGTTCCGTATATATATATATATATATATATATATATATATATATAGCTAGCTCAAGATGCAGCGCTTTTTTCCAAGACATGCGTGAACTAAAAATCAAGTCTTCTTTACCACGTAACCATTAAACGCTAGCATACATATTGTTTATTACTGGAATTCTCTTTTTATTTAAATTATCTATTAAAATTCACTTACGATATCTTCATAATCTTCATAATCTTCATCTTTTTTTATTTAAATTATCTATTAAAATTCACTTACAATATCTTCATAATGTTCCTGAAAGTTTTCTTTATGTCGTATACTATGTATTTGAAGCTCTAAATTTGTCACATGAAACTAAATATGACACCTGCATCGCATTTTTAATAGTAAATACAAAATTTTTTGTTGATTTCGATGCAACTTTTTAGTATGCGGCATTCATTATCGCTTATACTTTCACGTTGTAAAAGCATTTGCAGTTTTATGCATGCAATTAGAAGAAAAGAATATTTTACGAAAACAAGCCTAGCAGCATCACCTTAAGTCCTTCGAATATTATTCTAATGTCCGAATATCTGGTTATTTCAAATGTTAAAAGAAAATATCTAAATATGGGTTACTACTGTCTTTATCTATATTTTATATAATGTTTAAACTTATTATGAGCAAGTATATATACCGCTCCTATTACTTATCCTGAACTATTCTAACGATATATTAGCTTTAGTACGGATGCTATCGAACCTATATACATATAGAGTATACTATTTTAAATAATACATTTTAATATCCCTTCTATAACTCCTAGACATGTTGTCATAGGCAAAAATTTTTCAGATAAAAGTTGCATGATTTTGAGGGGGATACGTAATGATAATACGAACTTAACTTTGAATGATCTTTTCAAAGTCAAGTCAAAGTTACCTAAAATTTTTTAAATGGATATTTTATTTTATATTCTTGTAGATGATTTCAAGACTTTTTTCAAACATTTTTTCATTATTATTACGTTTTCCCAAAAATTGATAGATTGATAGATATTGAAACATTGATAGATTTAATGTTCTTTAATTTTCGTCCTTATAACATTCTTAAATCTTGCAAAGATAATGAGTAGTAGTGAGAGTAAATTAAAACATTTTTTTGCATTTTCGAAAAATGTAAAAATATCTTTATAAAAAGGATAAAAACTATAAAAGTTTTATATGAAATATTTTTTTATACATCTAAAAATTTCAAAGATATTCGCTAAAAATTAAAAATTACGTTATTTTCGAGAAATTGTTTCAATTCCTAAATATTGAGATATGCAGCTAAAAAGATATAAGTCTAATATTTTTTAATGTTATATAACATGTCCAAAGCCCGTCAAAATTGGGGAAGGACTAATTTCGACGGTTCCCTTGTAAGTACTCTGATAATATTCGCGAGCTAAGAAATATTTGGATATCACGCAGATACTAGAATATAAAAACATTTGGATTGTAAAAACAGGACTAAAAAGAAGTTTGTAACTCGCAAAGTAATAATGGTAAATAACACTGATTTTCATGAAACTGATCGCTCGCTATTCGCCTGTCGTAAAGAAATCGACTATTGTAATAAAACAATCGTGTCGCGAACTCGGATAGTTTGCATTTTTCGCATTTCTTTGTCTTTCTGTCTCTCTTTTTCTTGCAACGAGTCTTATAAGAGATTTATAAGTCATATAACATAATACACCATTCTCGCTTCCGTGTAGCGTGTATACTCGTCTCAGAATATTTATAAGTGATATTTTTCGGACGTCTGCTTATATATAGCATCCAATTACTATTCAGCATCTGAAATCTATTGTTCTTTGTGGCGCGTGTACGTATAAACGTGTGAAGTGTTAAAAGTATGATAATGCTTCACTCACGCTAGATAAGTCCCCTTCGTGGCTGGCAGAAACTCCTCGCGATCGAAGGAAGCTGCGTCGTCGCCTACTTCGAAGCTGACGCTGAAATACTCACTACTGGACACCTGTAACATATCGGAATGGCAAAACGTGTGTTTAATTTTGTTGCTTTCCATAAAAAATGAAGAAAAACATAGGCATAGTTCGGATATTTCATAAAAGGAAGCGCGCGGTGCAAAATTATTATAATATTTTGGAATATTAAATCCGTCTTGCCCAATTATTCGATTAAAAGATTCATTGCATTAAACTGCCGATGTTAAATTCGTCTTAATATTTGCAAAACTTTTTAATTTTGATTTAAATGAACGATTTTTGTAATTATTTAGTATAGGGGAGGCGACTCGAATGACTTTGACATACGTTATCAAGGTTATATCCCTGAATAACATTTAAAAGGTTTTAGCCGGCACTTGTTATTTATTAAAAAGTTATTAACAAAAAAGTTTTATAAATTGAATGTAATTCTTGCACACAGTATACATTGAAATATGGTAAACAATACACGTAGGGAAACTTGGGGCCCACGGGGTATAATGGGATATCGTTGATAATTTTTTACAAAGATGCTATCATGAAATAAAATATTATGCAATAATTACTGTTATATGTATCTTGTCGTATGTTGTTATAAGTTGTTTTATTAATTTTAGCTGAAAGTTGCTAGGAATTGTTTAATGCGTTTACTGTGTTCTCCGTGACTATATTGTAGTGTTTTTATACACTTGCATAAAATAAGTAATAATAAAATCCTGTTTTTTATTATCGTAATTCCATTTACATTATTAAACGACCTTTTCTTGTCACTTTAGTAAAGAATCTGTTTATATTATGTGTATATTTCTATTTATATAGTATATTTCTATTTATATAGTAAGAATACTTACGTCTAGGCGAGAACTGAAAATATCATGTTTAACGACTACATACTACAATTCTACCTAAAAAATCTGTATCTTGATTTTGTGAATTCTTTTGTTAATAACTTTTTAATAAACAACAAGCGCCGATTAAATCCTTTTGAATGTTATTCAGAGACATATCCTTGATAACATATATTAAGATCAAGATCATTGGAGCTGCCTTCCCTGTACTTAATTATCATGATTTTTAATGAAAAAATTAATAGCAAACGATTTTATGTGTCGCGTATATTTATGAAATTAATTATTTTTGCGCAGTTTTCTGAATGCGCGCTCGTAACGCGCGTGCGCAAAACGACTTCAATCTAACAATAATAATAAAATTATTAATAGTTTACTAATAAAAGTACTAATAATAAGTAAATAAAGTTACTAATAATTTATTATTAATAATAAAATTATTAGTAAGCAGTTATTAATAATAAAAATACTATTACTAAATATCGTTAAGATACAGAAATTAGAAGATTTAGTGTGCGATAGTGACCGATAATTGCACGTAATAATAGTAATCACATTAACTAACGCGATAAAATCGTGTGTAGATTTTCACAGATTAATTTCTCTTATGAAAATTTACTTACAATTTTTTTAAGTTACTTAAAATAATTTAAAGTTTTATAAAGTATTTTAATAGTCATATACATAAAGTTTATTTGAACTTATTGAACTTAGAAGGATTATTTATTTACTACGAAATTTGAGTAACTTGCGAATATATTTTTAACTTTACTTTTGATAAGATGATAATTAAACTCACTTCAATTATTAATTGCTCGTTAAAAACATTTAATGTATAATTATGTATAACTATATAAAATCGGATAGAAATATATAAAATTATGTTTTATAATTCATTATATGATTACATAGTTCAATAAAAAAATCTGCGGCGATAAAGGCCAATATTCTTAGTAAACTCGAGATCGCTGAAGCCAAATCTGCCAATAAAAAATGCCCATCATGTCAGATTTTTGAGATAAATCGAGTAATATGGGTAAAAAACTGCATTTTTTGCCATATTTACCAATTTTTTGTTATCAAACGAAATTTTATTTTTCAATTTCATTGACGCCACTTTAAAGTGCTTTTTTTCACCTATAAAACGTATTTTTATTTTTTACTGTACGATTTTTTTTCACAGAGTTTCTTATACTTTTCCAAAATGTATAATTTTGAGTAATTTATTTTAAACTACTTTTTATTTGGATTAATTATAATATTTTGTTAAATATCTAAAAGCAGTGACAAAATTACTGATCCACTAATAATATATATTATTTGATCGTCGTATATTTAATGTTGTTCCGTCACTTCTATGTTTGCTAGTAAATATATTATAATGTTTTGTAAATACTATAAGTTTACATTATATAAGCATAAGTCCTAGAACCATTGGGATCACCGTATGTCGCTCGATCGTCAAAGTTAAGAAACGTTTAGCGTGGTCAGAACATGGATAAATGATCGCTTTCGATACAAAAATTTCTTTTAACGAGTTAGTTCGCTTAAAGTAATCTTTTATAATATATTAAACAAAAAATACTTAAAGTTTTATTCGAAATCACAATAAGTTTATTAAAGTAACTTCCTTGGTAAACTTTGTAATTTATTTTAGTTTATTTTGAGTTTTTTAAAGTACATTTTTATAAAAGTTTCTTTTCTTCTGTTTCTTTTTCTCTTAGTGTTTCGCGCTTTTTTGGAGAAACACTCAGTCGTTTTTATATTGTATTAAGGCCTTATCGTTTAGCTCCTGGGTATAATCGCTTTAGGATCGGGATGTAATCAATAAGCAACGACATACACTGCTGTTTAAAGTGAAGTTTAACGCCTAAGCTTCGGCTGAGTCCGCAAACTTCATTTAAATGCACGACGTGGGATGTTTCCATGTATTAAATTTATGAAGGCGGTAGTCGAAGGTACTGCAGTACCTTTGATGCTGATATAACCGAGCACGAAGATACGTGTTCCAATAGTAATTAATGGGTCCTTAGGCAAATTAGAACGCTTCACAAAGATATCGCATTTATTCACGAGTAAACACGTTGAGTGCGCACACGTGTTACACATCTTTCCCTAAGGATGGGCGTTATTTCGTTATCTGTTATTGAATAATCGTTATCGAGAAGTAACGTTAGTAACCGTTATCAAAGGACTTCGTAGAAAACATTATCAAGATTGGCCCCGGCAAAAATAGCATAATTTCCTTAGGCAAAATGCTAGAAAATGGACAGTTTCCTCGTTTCAATTCTTCAAATATATAAAATCGTAATTAACCCTTAAAAGCCTGAGGTCAGACCAACAAAAATATTACTTTCGGATCAATGCGGTTACTATTATAATGGGACATTATGAATAAAATGGTTAAAATATAATTTGTTTATGATAATAGTTAAATAGTTAAAAAATGATTAAATAAATAGTTAAAAATGATTTGTTATGCTAGTTCCGTAAGATTATTTGGATTGATAGTCTGCGCTCTATTAGCTGCATTTAAAATGTTATTTAGTAGAGAGGGGACTCACGAATAAAAAGCATCCCAAAGAAGTCTAAGTTCTACAATTACAACCTTCATATGGTAGACTCCATATGGTAATTATAATGTTATAGACTAATCGCAGATATATAATAGTGTTTTAATTTCATAACATAAGGGTCAGCTACTGGAATAAGTTTCATTATCAACCATTTGTTTATTGATAATTTTGTAACAAATAATGTGTTATATATGAAAATGCTATATACACATTTCCATCATAATTTTTCCTACAGAATTCTAATCAGCAATCAGTCCTTGTAAACAATAATGTTTTCAAATTGTTTAAACAATATTATTATAAACAAATTATTTTTTAGCTATTTTATTAACTAAAAATTCATATTGTTCCCTTATAATGGTAACTGATTACTGATTCGAAAGTGATATTTTTGTTGGTTTGACCTCAGGTTTTTAAGGATTAATTACTATTATTATGTATTTTAAGAGTTAAAATGACGATGTATTACTATTACTATTTTATGTATTTGAAGAGTTAAAATGACGAAAATGCTGATTTTCTGCCTAAATATGATGTTTTGCCTAGAGAAATTTTTATTCAGTGACCCAAAAAGTACAAAATATTTCAAATTCAGCCATTTTCGACAGGTCCATTTCCATGATGTTTATTGCGGGATCCTTTGAGAAATAACGGTTAATGAACTAAACGATTATTTTTACCAAGTTATAATTTTACAAGAGCAATAATGTTTAAGATCCGAATCAACTGTTTAGGCCGAATCTACAGGCAGTATTTATAATCGGATTTTATATTTATAATCGGATCTTATATTTAAAATCGTCTGAAGTTCGTCTTCAGATACTGTACGAATAATTTCATTGGCTACGAGGTATCGGAAGATCAATTTCAATCGGAAGATCTATTATGAGTACTGGCCTATAATAGATATAGTAAACTTTAAAGCATAAGAAATTGAATCATAGTCGATTATTTTTCTCATATTTGATTATGATTGACCAATTTCTTAAAACTTTAAACTAAGTCTGCTATATGTTAACATTAAACAATTATTATGCGAAATTTGACATTTTATATGTTTAGATTGTTTATATTTATATATTTAGACTGTTTTTTCGACCGAAAATAACCAATATTTTATGATCGAATAAGAGGTCTTTTCTTTTTAACTGAACTACCTGAATACGTATTATGGAATCAATTCCGGTCGGAAATTTCTATTTCCTCTAGAAAACACAATATAAATATAAGGAATATATCTAACTAATAATATCTAACTAAAATATTTCAATAGATTAAAGCAAAATATATTTGTTTTACTATAACTTATTGGACTAATTCAGGCAGTTTAGCTAAAAAGAACAGACTTAAATGTTCACAGGAGCAATAACAAAATTAGTTGAACTAATCGATAATCAGTTAATTTGTCTTCTAACAATATTGTAGCAAATTATTAGTAACAGTTTAATCGAATAATTAAATAACTGTTGTTGAGTGTTTAAATAACTGATTATTATAACAGTTGGAACCGTTTAATGAAAATAACCGTTTAATCTATTTCTGTCTTTCCTGAGATTCTTACATATTTTTGAAAGAATGAGATAACGCGAGCATCCACGGGTATAC